TTACTCCCACCCTCTCTTCTATGTTCCATTGGCTAGAACTCAGCCATGAGACTACATCTAAGTGCAAGAGAGGTTGGGAAATGTAGTTTGTAGCTCTGTGCCCAGGAAGAAAAAGACATGGTTTGTTGTAGCATAGGGAAGTTCTTGAGATAGATATAAAATCATTGTATATTAAAAACTGAATTGTTGTTATTATTTAGACATATATCTATCATTTGGTATATAAAGAACTGAGGCATATGAAGTTTAAATGACCTGCTTAAGTTTATATAAAGTAGAAAAATTAATATATAAATTCAGGTCATTTTGACCCCAAGACTGGGGTTCTTTTATTTCTTATCATAGGCACAATCTAGTAGAGGATGCAAGAAGTAACTACATGTCATGCAGTTAAGGAACACTGCCAAGGCCATTAACTGGGACTCTTTCCCTTGGCCTGGGATAGTGTAATTGATGTAGAGCCCAAAGATTATTTTGATTGATTCACACAGTAATTCAACACTTTTTAAAAAGTAAGTTACTGTCTTAGTCTGCTTAGGCTGCCATAACATAAAACCATAGGTTGTTTTAAACGACAGAAATTTATTTCTCACAGTTCTGGAAGCAAGAAGTCCAAGATCAAGGTGCCAGTTGATTCAGTTTCTGGTGGGAGCTCTCTTCCCAGTTTGCAGACAGCTGCCTTCTTGTGTCCTCTCATAGCCTTGGTGTGTGCATGTGGAGAGAGAGAGATCTTTCTCTTTCTCCTCTTAGAAGAATACCAATCCTATCAGATTAGGTAGGTCCCTACCCTCATGATTTCACTTAACTTTATATCCTAAAAGCTTTATCTCCAAATACAATTGCATTAGGGGCTGGGGCTTCAACATATGAATTCTGGGGGAACACAATTCAATCTACAGCAGTTACTAATATTTAAAAATCAAAATTTCACGTGAAACTTCAGACTTCTGGCTTCTGTAAAAGCAAACAAAACAAAACAAAACAAAAACAAAACAAATGCCTGCAGAGTCTGACCCCTTTGGACTTCTCTTAATACATGACAAAAACAAGAAAACATCGACAACAGAGAGAGAGAGGGGTTGTGGCTTTATGGGCATTCTTTCCAGTTCAGCGCAGTCCCCTTTTAATACCTGCATGGCTATTTGTAAGCATTTACTTTTGTGATCCTTGGATACAGAGTATCCTGAAAGCGTTCTAGAGCTCTTGTGTGTAAATCTATAGGTTTTGGATGTATCTCCCCTTCATCTGCTTGAGGAAATTGAAGTTCTTTCTTTGTAGGAGAGTTGCCTTGCAGGTGAGCATCAATAAAGTAGTGAATTTTGTCCATAGACAGTGTTTACTTATAGCCTGGGAAATTATGAAAGTTACCTTGGGGACAGCATTCAAATGTCAAATAGTTATTTGGATCCATGGTCTACTCTCTGACCTTCCCATAATTCTTAATCTTCCTGTGTCCCTGACTTTATAATTATATTTATATCATTTCTCTTAATCTACTTCTCCTATCCATATTTAGAGGCAGTTTTTTGCAGACTTCACATAGTTTTAGACAATAATGCATACTTACTGAACACTGAGAACTGTATGTTTTTATTTCAAGAGAGACTCAGAAATAAGAATATATTGTCAAATTACATTTTGTGATGTAGAACATACATCATAGCATCATAGGGCACTTAGGGCCTCATTCTGAAAATTATATCATTCATAGTTCTAACATTTGACTCTTCCATTTTAACCTTCCACATCTTTTACTGCTTTAAGATATTACTTTGGAGATAGATCATAAACACTGGTCCATGTACACCAGTCACCATATCTTGAAAATTCTCAAGGGTTAGATGAAGCAGGCAATTCAGTCATACATATAGAAAATGACAAGAGTGAAGGTATTAGCATTTTGGCGTAAATGTCTTAGCTACTCCAAAGATGATCTATCCAGATCACAGATTGAGGTAAGTTTCCAAGGCTTATAGCATATGCTCCATGTAGACAAAGGAAAGAGGTTACACTTTAGTACTTCTTGGGTCTCAATTTCTTTATCTACAAAATAGGGACGATAGGAATATCAGCTAATATAGTTGTATAAGGATAAATTATCTGAAGCATGTAAACTGCCTAGAATAATGGCTGGCACTTAGTAAGAACTAACACGTTTTATTATTTAGGGGGGCAGTATATCCAAAAGGTTAAGACAATGTTTTTTTTTTTTTTTAAAGATTTATTTGTCTACTTACCTACTTATGTACCTATCTATTTACTTATTTTAGAGAAAGAATGTGAGAGAGGGCAAGTGAGGAGAGGGACAAAGGAAGAGGGAGAGAGAGAATCCTCAAGCAGACTCCCTGCTGAGCATGGAGTCCAACCCGGGGCTCCATCACAGGACCCTGAGATCATGACCTGAGCCAAAATTGAGTCCACTGCTTAACTGAGCCATCCAGGCACCCTGACAATGGATTTTCAAGACAATTTAGTTTTCCTTTGTATCCTGTGTCCTCCACTTCCTAGTTATATGAATCAAGTTTGCAGTTTCTTTATGTGTAGAATGGGCAATAAAGAATAGCTACCTTGTCAGGTTATATAAATATATAATGAGACAGAAATAGTGTAAAGATCTTAGTTCAAAGTTTGGCATATAACAAGTATTTGATATATTACAAGTAGATGTGTAAAATAGATGATTGTAGAATGCTAGTTCCAAATGGGGGGAAAATGGTCTTGGAAAAGCTTATAATGATATCAGTGACTAGATTTAAAAAAGAGTGGATTCTTGGGGTTCCTGGGTGGCTCAGTTGGTTAAGCATCTGCCTTCCGTCCTGGTCATGATCCCAGGGCTCTGGGATCGAGCCCTACATCGAACTCCCTGCTTAACGGGAGCCTGCTTCTCCCTCCTCCCTGCTTCTGCTCTCTCTCTCTCTCAAATAACTAGATAAAATCTTTAAAAAAAAAAAGAGTGGATTCTTGCTCTGTGTATCTCTACTGAGATTAGGCATGATAATACCTAATGTCATATTAAATCAAATTCATATCGCATTATGTGAATCAAGTTAACTTACATAGCATTTACAAAGTATGTAGTATTTGTTTTGTGTAAAGAATTAATATGGTGTTTTAAGAAACTTTGGCCAGGAGAAAAAAAGCTGTTATAAATATTTTATAATGTGTTGTTATTATTTACATTGACAGTGAAACAAGAAAAGCCTTCTTGGGGATTTTTATATTCATTGCCATGTGGCAAATATTGACTAAGATGTTTGTCAGTGTTCATTTTTAAGTATGATCATTTTTGATAATTATTGAAATAAGCTGTCAAAATGAATGCTTAGCATTTTAAAAAAATGACCAACTTTTCATGGTGGTTGTCAATTAAAAATGGAGAGAAGCAGATTTTCCAGAAACATATGTCATTACCTGACACTGAATTCTAATTTACTGTATCTATTGGCTCTTGCTATTGGCATTTTTAGTATTTGCCATGGACTGAAACCTGGCTCCAAATAGGAATCACCTGGAGAAGGGTATTTATTCATTCATTTATTTATTTATTTATTTATTTATTTATTTGACAGAGAGAGAGAGTGAGAGAGAGAGCATAAGCAGGGGGAGCGGCAGGCAGAGGGAGAGGGAGAAGCAGGCTTCCAGCCCAGCAGGGAGCCAGGTTCAGGGCTTGATCCCAGGACGCTGGGATCTTGACCTGAGCTGAAGGCAGATGCTTAACTGACTGAGCCACTCAGATGCCCTCTGGAGAAGGATATTTATTTATTTATTTATTTTTAAAGATTTTATTTATTTATTTATTTATTAGAGAGAGAGAGAAACAGCATAAGAGGGGAGAGGGTCAGGGGGAGAAGCAGGCTCCCCGCTGAGCAGGGAGCCCAATGAAGGACTCGATCCTGGGACTCTGAGATCATGACCTGAGCTGAAGGCAGTCGCTTAACCAACTGAGCCACCCAGGTGCCCTGGAGAAGGATATTTAAAATAGAGAAGCCCACACAGACTTCCACCCTTGGAGATCTTGTTTCCTAAGGAAAAGGACCAGGAATCTGTACTTATAAAAAAATGCGTCCGGGCTCCTGAGTGGCTCAGTCGTTAAGTGTCTGCCTTCGGCTCAGGTCATAATCCCAGGGTCCTGGGATCGAGCCCCACATCGGGCTCCCTCCTCGGGGGGAAGCCTGTTTCTCCCTCTCCCCTTCCCGCTGCTTGTGTTCCTGCTCTCGCTATCTCTGTCTCTGTCAAATAAATAAATAAAATCTTAAAAAAAAAAAAAAAAGCATCCTAACGATTCCAGTGATCTTCTGAATTGGGAAATGCTGATCTTTTGCTCTAACACATCTTTATTCCAGTCCTAAAAATACAGTGCATGAGATTTTCATAAATCTTCGCAAAGATCAGATAAAATATACTTTTTGGTAATGTATATGTGAACTCTATTTGAATCATTTTGGAAGAATTTAATTATGTGACATATTTTATGTAAGGGCTTTCATCAATTACAGAAATAAAAGTTTTAAGAAGCCTCAACTTAAAAATTAAGTTTTTGACATTGACATTCCCATGAATCTGTTGTTCATAAAATATTTCTCACTGAGGCACACTATGGACAATTTTTATAGTGGATATTTTTATTTATTTATTTTTTAAAGATTTTATTTATTTATTTTTTAAAGATTTTATTTATTTATTTGACAGTGAGAGATGGTGAGAGAGGGAACACAAGCAGGGAGAGCTGGAGAGGGAGAAGCAGGCTCCCCACTGAGCAGGGAGCTCAATCCCAGCACCTTGGGATCATGACCTGAGCCGAAGGCAGACGCTTAACAACTGAGCCACCCAGGCACCCCTATAGTGGATATTTTTAAAGCACAGGATGTTTAGGTTTCATATTTTTGTCATTTGCTTTTTAGGCTAAATAGTTGTATGTCTTGAGTTAAAAATCTTTCCCTTGGAAACTATTATCTGATGATACTTAAGTTTTAATTTTTCTCTTTTTATTTTTAAAACAGGAGTTCTTCCAGTGTGCTTTCAGCTCACACTATGTTTATAAAGCAATATCCTAAAATATTTCTGCAGAAAAAACACAGACTGCCTAAACTTTTCAAACAGGAGGGAAAAAGGTAATGATGTCTTCTTTTGGAAGCAAGGTTGATGTGTGTGTGCATTAAAGAACAAATGGAACTCAAATAATGAAAGTATTTGATCTGTTTCCAGCACTCCATGCTAGGGAGTTTGATAGGGAAGAGTAAATTCACACAATCATTTTGGAGGAATTTTAATTTATATGGTATGATAATTAGGACTAATAAATGTATGTTGCTCCTTTAGTTTTATCATTAAAATGAATAAGCAACTAGTCTTATATAATAAACATGAAAGAAAATACTATTAGGAATGTGAAAGATAACAATAAAGGATACAAAAAAAACCTAAAAGAATTAAAAATTATGATAGAACACCTTATATAACTGGAGGCTAATTTGATAATCTAGATCTTATTGGTTAATTTTCTAAGAAAAATATGCTACTGAATTTATTCAAGGTGATAAAAATTAAGAAATTATTATGTATAAAGAGAAATTGTGAAAAGTACTCTTCAAAAGTATTTTTTGAAGCAAAAAAGAACAAAAACAAAAATTAAAAACCCATAGCCCAAGTGATATCACCAGAAGTTCTTTTCAGATGTCCAAGAAAATGTAATTTCTGTGCAATTTAATTTTCCCAGAGTGTTGAAAATAAAAAATAGTTTGAATTTTCCATGTACATGTAACTCTGATATCAAAACTTAACAAGAGTGGTTACAATAATAAACAAGAAATACCAATTTTAATTATGATTATTTAGGCAAACATACACAATAAAATTTCAGCAAATGAAATAATACAATAGTGTAATAGATTTGTATATCATGGTTAAGTTGGCTTCATCTCATGAGCATAAAGAAGGTTCATCATTAGAAAAGCTATTATAATTTTTTTTTTAAAGATTTTATTTATTTATTTGACAGAGAGAGACACAGCGAGAGAGGGAGCACAAGCAGGGGGAGTGGGAGAGGGAGAAGCAGGCTTCCCGCGGAGCAGGGAGCCCGATGTGGGGCTCGATCCAGGACCCTGGGATCATGACCTGAGCCAAAGGCAGATGCTTAATGACTGAGCCACCCAGGCGCCCCATAAAAGCTATTATAATTCTATAATATTATTAGCTCAATGAGAAACTGTATGATCTACCAATGCTGAAAACGTATTTGATGTAATTCAGTATCTATGTCTCATAGTAAAATAAAATCATGCTTTTATGCGTAATGTGTGCAGTAGGTGGCCATTAAATAGTACAAAATATTTATATTTTCAGCCAGAAAGAAATTACTCTAAAGTAGCAATAAAAATACCTTAAACTGAATTAAAATAAAATTTCATAAAATATATTAAGAAATTATAAATCTCTACACTTAGCTGCACTGGTCCTTCATGTAATGTGATGAACCCCTATATGCCTGGATGGTGGGACTGGAGCTCAGGTAATTCAGAGAAGTTTTTCGCAGAATATAATTGATGAAACATGAATCTTGGCAGATACTAAATACCTACACTATTAAAATTATTCATCAGTAGTCTTTACCTATTATCATTGCCATATTCAACGCTCTATAATTCATTTAACATAAATGTCATGTGATAGATATAATAGCAAGACTTTGAAGTATGGCATGTGCCTGGTTGTGAACATATGGTGAGAATGCCTGATGACAGGATATTTGCTAAATATCAAAGTGCAGGAGGGTAGAAGAAATGCTTCATACAACCATTAAACCCATTTGGAGCAATGCCACATTAATGAAAATAAATGGAAGACCTGGCTGAGACATAGGGAAACAGTTCTTCCAGAGCAAAAAAATGTGAATACAGAGCACAAATGAGATCGAGGACTGCTCAAATGATTGTCTAAAATTTATTTTATTTATGAATTAGCTAGAGAGAAGGTAAATTTTTGGTAGATTCACAGATGTAGGATATCAAACAGACATTTCTTTTAGAAAAGCACTGAATTTTCACCCAGATGACTTGGATTTGAGTTTCTGTTTTGCCCAATTGTGGCAGCATGACTTTGGAATAGTCTCTGAATATCAACTTCTCTGTTTTTACTCAGGAAAAGAAGATATTAATATCCTACTTCAGAGTTATGCATGAAAAAAACTTTTTAATTGTACTAGCTCTTATTATTATCATGGACTATATATATAGGCAGTGATGTTTTATATAGATTTATACCAACTGTCAAAAAATTCTGCCTCTTTTTAAATGAGTTAATCAACAAAGCAACAATAACAATTTAGTACATATAATACTAACAGTAACAAATCACTGCATTCTTCACTTCAACAAGTTTAATATTCACCCTTTTTTAAACAAAAAAAGACTTAATTTTTTTTTTTTTTAGACATTTTACTTATTTGACAGAGAGACAGTGAGAGAGGGAACACAGGCAGGGGGAGTGGGAGAGGGAGAAGCAGGCTTCCCGCGGAGCAGGGAGCCCGATGTGGGGCTCGATCCAGGACCCTGGGATCATGACCTGAGCCGAAGGCATACGCTTAACGGCTGAGCCACCCAGGAGCGCCTTAAAATTATTTTTAATTGAAATATAGTTGACACACACTATTAAATTAGTTTCAGGTGTAAAACTGCGATTAATCAACACTATACATTTTGCTATGCTCACCACAAGTGTATCTACCATCTGTCACCATACAGCGCTATTACAATACCATTGACTATGTGCTCTAGGCTGTGCCTTTCATCTCTGTCCCTTATTCATTCCATAACTGGAAGCCTGTATCTCCCACTCCCCTTCACCCATTTTGCCCATCCCCCCCCGCCCCAATCTGGAAACCACCAGTTTGCTCTCTTTATTTATGGGTCTGTTTCTGCTTTTGTTTGTTTATACATTTGTTTATACATTTGTTTGGTTTTTTAGATTCCTCATATAAGTGAAATCATTTGGTATTTGCCTTTCTCTGATTTATTTCATTTAACATAATACCCTCTGGGGCCATCCATGTTGTTGCAAATGGCAAGATCTCATTCTTTTCTTATGGCTGAATAATATTCCATTGTATATATACCACATCTTCTTTATCCATTCCTCTATCAATGGACATTTTGGGTTGCTTCTGTATCTTGTTTGTTATAAATAATGCTGCAATAAACAGGGTGCATATATCTTTTTTAATTAGTGTCTTCATTTCTTTGGGTAAATACCCAGTAGTGAAATTACTGAATTGTATGACATTTCTATTTTCAAATTTTTGAGGAAACTCTATACTGTTCTTCATGGTGGCTGTACCAATTTTTATTCCCATCGACAGTGCATGAGGGTTCCTTTTTCTTCACATCATCACCAACACTTGTTATTTCTTAGAAAAGACATAGACTTTTTTTTTTTAAAGATTTTATTTATTTATTTATTTATTTATTTTATTTATTTTATTTTATTTATTTATTATTATTTTAAAGATACACAGCGAGAGGGGAACACAAGCAGGGGGAGTGGGAGAGGGAGAAGCAGGCTTCCCGTGGAGCAAGGAGCCCGACTTGGGGCTCGATCCCAGGACTCTGGGATCCGGACCCCAGCCAAAGGCAGGCACTTAACGACATAGACTTTTAATCAGTACACCTTTATATCAGTTCATTTCTGGAGGAAAAGAAGTTTAATGAAATGATATTAACTGAGAAAACAAATAATAAGCACCACAGAATGGTAATCTTTGTTGAAGATATATTTATTAAATAAGTAATGTTTTGGGAGGGTAGGAATTCACATATTTACAAGGAAGCTTGTATTCTTATTTGACTTTTATAAATCTTTTGAATTACTTTTTTGGATAGTAAACCTAGAGACAATATGATTTTTTTTTCTTTTAGAGAATGAAAAAAATGACTAAACTGCAGCTTTTCTACTGGGAAATTTAGCCCACATTTTCAACCATTTATTCATTTGTCTGTGGGCTTATTTTAATGTTAAACTACAAAGCTGTGTATGGGCTTTGGTTATAATGTACTTGTTTCATCAAATTTAGCATCAAATCAAATGTTGTACTTAATATGCAGAGTGTGGCATTTTAGAATTTTTTGATATATTTTACTCCGGACATTTTCATGAAGTCCAATCAGTATCTATTATCTTAAAAAATTTAATTCTAATTAGATATAAGATCAAATAAGAACAAAGAGGAAAGAGTAACTTGCTATGTTTAGAAGGAGTTTCAGGTTTTTAACTTATAACAGGTTATAACAGGCTTATAACCAGGTAATGGTAATATTTAGTAAAACCATTTTAACTTAGCTTGTGTTATATAATTTACAACTGAATAATTTGACCTGGGAAGAGTAAAAGGATTTTAGCAATGTGCCATACTGTGCTTCCTACCCACCAACCCCAGGATTTTACTAAGAGTATTCTTCAGTGTGCTAAAGGCATCCTGACCAGAAGAGGTTCTGCTGGGATGCTTCTCATGGGCCCAGAAGTCTGTATTGGCCAAATTACTAATCACTCCAAAAGCTGTCAAAGCATGTTTTGTGCAAAGAATTGATACTTCAGTTTAGACTTTAGATTCTAAATAGACTAGGACATTCCAGTTGCTTGAATTGAAGCTCAGAATTTCACTTCTAGATCTAAAAGCAGCAGTAACATGTACCTTTGATATGAGTTAAAATAATGTGGAATTTCTCTGTAATATATATATTTTTTTCCAAACACATTTTAAAAACAGTTATTTGGTATAGTACACATACTACCTTGATGGATTATAAATTCTCTCTGAAAGTGTAAGTGCAGAAAATGCTGGGAAACAAAGATGAATGTCTGAAGATGAAGCAACTAAAAACCTAGAGCAAATGGATTCTGAGAGATGGACTTAAAAAAAATCTCTGCAAAATTACTTTCTTAGCTTGTGGTTTTCTTTTGAGATTTGGACTCCACTTCATTCCCTAGCACTGTGAAAATTACGCATGTGCTATAGCTACATCTAAGTAGTGCTTACTTCATGCTAGCTTGAATCTGGCCTCAGGGTAATTAAGCATAGGGTATCTGAAAAATATGTATTTAACATTAGAACAAATGAAAC